ATTGTGTTGTGAATGCAGAACATTTTAGTGAATCATAATGATCAGTTGAGAAATATTATAAATAATGCGAAATCATTTGCATATTGGATTCGATCATTTCCAGTAGTTTTTGAATTTTTTTGAATATATGAGAAAACACTATAGGTGAGGCAGTATGAGTGCAGTATTGTATCGTGCAAACGTTAAGAAACAGTATTTGTATGGGGCAAAAACTGGTGAGCGGTTGTATTTCATCTCACCGATTAGAACGGAATACTTCGAGAAATTATTTGGTGAGTAAACGAGGAGAAATATTGCGATTTCTGGAGAACTGGCTTGCAATCATATGATTTGAATGGTTAGAGAGATCAAAATGAGTTTAAACTCAGCAATTCGAAAAGCTCCATTTCATGGAATTATTAAAGAACCATGAGAGCCGCGAACATCTGATTTTTAGAGCATCTCAAACATCGTTTGCGAATCAGAGCTGTTTCTAGCGGCTAACAAAAGAGAAGAAAGGAGATGGCTGCCTCTGCTGGTGGTGATTTACCGAGCGATTTTCCGGTAAATGAAGTGAATATGCTTGGACCGGTGATACATCTGTTGTTGGATAAAGCTGAAGAGGTCTTTGGTTCCATTTAAAATGAATCTTCAAATATCTGTTATGAATTTGACCTAGGCTTTTCTCCGTATGATCTATTATGCCTATAATGAGCCGTTTTCCACAGTGTCACAAAATCAAAATATTGTGAACATTAGTGTTGGTGATTAGTCTGGAAAATAGTTTTAGTGATCCTTATTTAATACAGATTCGGTATGTGACGAGATTCAAAAGACCGAGAAACTGGAAGAATCTAGTGTTGGAAAGAAGTTTAATCCAACTTGAGAAGGTTCCGTAAATGATCCTAAGAATCGAGAGGATCTAGAGAAGCTGATCTCATGGAAATGAGCATTAAATATGATGGATAAACTTAATTTCTTTATCAGATGGCTCGACAGAATGAATTACCGCCTCAGTACCCTAACGATGAAGACAAATACGACAAAGAGCTATGGAGTTTGGAAGCAAATAAAGAGGATCATATCATAACTGGAATTGAAGTTGAAAAACAGCGCGAAATGCCATCATCTGGCAAACGAACACCTCTAACAAAGATTTCAGGTTTGTTTGTGAGCACGAATGTGATTTAAGGAGTGGAGACATTTCAACTGATAAATTCATGAAATACTCTCGAATCGATCAGAAAATTTGAGGTGATGGTGAGTGAAGGTCTTTGAGGAATGCGATTAGACATGTATTTTCCAGACACCGTACAGAGTAAGCATCATTATTTGATAAACATTAATGAATCCTAAGGAAATATCTTAGATATGTTCATAAACTCAAAATAGTATGATCATGGAATGATTGAGCTGAATATTTGCACCAATTGAACCAACTGAACTGTTTATCTCTAAATTTATCGAAGTTCAGTAAGTCCATCGATAAGTCCAAATCAACAAGAACCGGATAAATCAACACCTGTGACGAATCAGTCGTCTCCCGAGATCAACGAGAATATGAAAGCTGAAAGTGTTCCAGCGGAGAAGGCCGAATTGAAGCAAGCTGTTACTGGGAAAGCCGAAAACGAGGAATGTACTCAAACAGAAAAAAGTCCGATAAATAGAGCATCTGATGGAGCAAATAAGCAAGGTTCTTGCGTTTCTCTTGTTGATATCTTCGTGTTTACAAACGGACCACTATTTTATAGAAGACAAGTTGAGATTCCGTGAAGTTCATATCAACGATGATAATTTCAGCAGATAATAAGGAGGAAGTAGCGAAAAGCGTTGAGATCAAAAAGCAAGATCAACAGTCACCTATAGAGAAACAATCGCCTGTCGTACCACCAAACTTGTCACCAGCAGTTGAGCAAGGAAACATGGAGGTACGTCGATATATGAGTGCGAGTTCACGAATCAACAAAACTTGTGGGTTACTGAACTCCCCGAATGTCTCTATCACCCACATTTGAAGTGAATCGATTCGAGAAGTGCACTGCTTTCAGAAGACCTATTGTGCAGTACCATATGAATCTGATGCACCGGAGAAATCAAAATTATTGCCAAAGAAGAAACGAAGTAGGAAGAAGAAAAGAGCAAGGAGAAGCCGGAAATATTGGATTGGCTCGGTAAGTAGTCAGCATCCGGAGATACTGTTTTAGTCAAGCATACCGCTCATTGAGAGGTAAACTTTAAAGTTTAAACTTCAGGATGTCTGCCATTTCGTAGTGCTTCATTTCAGAGACGACGATCAAG